TTTTATTATTATTATTTTATTTCCCCTTAGGCTGAACTTGAGGCTATCTTGAAAGATGAGATAAAGAAACGACAGGTGAGTGCGACAAACGCTGATACCGCACATTGTAGATCGCATGCTCATATGACTGTATGCAGTTTTGCAAGTACAGTAAAACACTTACAGAAACCAAAGAAAATTGTAGATATATTACGCCCTTATCAACCCAATTTGTGCGGCATGCTGACAAAATAAGTTGCTTCTTGGATTTTAGTCCCGTGGAAATAGATACATCAAATTGATAGGTGCGAGTTTGTACAATTAAAATTTATAAATGTGTCACAACGCGGTGGAATCAGACCATCGTCAATTTGTGGTCATGTGGAGTTATCGGTACCTTGTGAAAGCTTATTTATTTATTTTGCTTTCAATGACAAAAATACGCGTCTGACTGGAATAGAAGTCAAGATATTTGCCCTTGAAGGAGGTGGGGTCGCCAGGTTTCAGTGGTGAAGTAAGCGAGAAAATATCTCCATTCATTCGTGGATGGCGAGACGTAACTGGTTTCGTCACCACACCTCACATATGTGTCACAATCTAGTAGAATCAGGCGCTCGTCAATTTTTTGGCGTATGCCGTTGTTGGTTTCATCCTAAAGCCTGTTTATTTGTCTTCCTTCTGGTGAAAAAAATGTCCATTTATGTTGAATGGAAGTCGGAATATTTGCGATTGAAGGAGATCAGGGTCGCCTGATTTCAGAGGTAAATTAACAAGAAAATGGCCGCCAAAATTTTGTAACTTCCATAGCCTGAGAGTTCTTGGAAACTGAAAATTTACATTTTTTTTAGCCTTTAATCAATGTTTTTCAATAAAATCCTCACAAAAAATTTTTTCTCCGTGGACATAAAAGGTGTTGAGCCAAAAACAGAAAATTAGAAAAAAAATTGCCCATCGGCCAAAAAAGTGCCGATTCCTTTGATTTCATTATTTTGACGAGCGCCTGATTTCGCCGAGATGCCTCACAAATGTACGAACTCACACCTATTAATTTGACCTATCTATTTCCATCGGGCTAAAATCTAATAAGTATAAGTCATTTTCTCAGCACGCTGCACATACACACTGTAGCTTCCATCGATGGTTGCGGAAATCTTTACAATAAATTCAAACTCTGGGTTTTTTTCTTTCCTTTTCAAGACTCGTTCAAACCAAACGCTCGTGTCCATCTGTAATTACAATTAAACTGTTGTTTTTTTCCTGCACTGTTTTTATTTTTTTCAGTATCTGCAGCAGGTGACAGTTTTCTGTATTGTCTTGTCTTGTTTTTTCTGTATTGTCTTGTTTTGTTTTTTCTGTATTGTCTTGTTTTGTTTTTTTCTGTATTGTCTTGTCTTGTTTTTTCTGTATTGTCTTGTCTTGTTTTTTCTGTATTGTCTTGTCTTGTTTTTTCTGTATTGTCTTGTCTT